AATGTGAATGGCATGTGCATTTTCTGTGCATGGCATGTGCATTTTCTTTGCCTGTCAATCATTCATGCATTGATGAGTGGGAAAAAGTGGCGGCAAGTTAGATCGATGACATGGTAATGATGACATCTTAGGCTAGTTTTTAGTAATTATGCCTAGTTTTCAAAGCTTGTTGGAAAAATTTAAAGGTACAAAGTCCATAGAATTACAAATTTAGTAGCACATGAGAGACAACAAAATTAAACGCTAGAAGTTAAACCCTGGGATTACAACAAAATTAAATGAACAAAAAAAAAACTTAGTACATATCTCTACCACATAATATATCACAAAATGTATTCACTTTCTGATGCCATCTACAAGCATTATAGGTAGTGAATTTTTCACGGTCACATGCATCCTAATGCGTTCGGAATGTGATCGGACCCTGTGGACTTCCATGGTCACTACAAGGTTTGATGGTAGCGTTGTCGTGGTGCAATTTTAGGATTTAGGCCCTTACTTACCTGTGCACCAAAAAATCGGACAAACACAGCCGAAACCTGTCCCAGCATTCCATTACACTCAACCGTCCTGAGTTGTGATGGTTGAAAGAATAGAGAAGTTTGAGCCCTTCATGCTTCGAATCCCACTAGTGGCACACTAAGATCGCATCGTATACGTACGTTGCTACTTGATGGCTTTTCGAGATTGCACTCTTAAGCCACTGAATTTTGGCTTCTTCCTTGTTGTCTTGGAAGAAGTATTGCATCCCCACCATGTAAGTGTTGCATCAATTGATGAAGGTTGAGACTTTGTTAAACGCGCCCCATAATCCAAGCGGGTTTATGGTCTCAAAGTCTGTGATATTGATGTGTTGGTAGATGCAAGGTTCTTCGACTATTTCCTTGAACTTTCGAGACCATCTTCGTCGAAAAGAGGTCCCTTAACGAGTGAGAAGCAATGATGATGAGAATTTTGAAAAGAATGTCGTCAAAAACAGATTGCATAGAGAAGGGGTGGTGCGTTTCTTCATCATTTTCAACTTTTGGTTTTTTTTTTTTTTTTTTTTTTTTTTTGGGAGGATGGAAATTGAACTTGTGGTTTTGTAATGAAACACAAACCCACAAAGACAACTTAAACAGATGGAGAATAATGGTCATTCAAACGGTGCGACTTCCCATCACAAAAAGGGTCATTCAAATGGTGCAACTTCCCACGACAAAAAGTTAACTTCTTATGTATGTAATAATTCAAAAACAAAACCACACAATACCATTATAGAAGTAAATTAAAGATAACCGCCCTCCATGCATATGCATTATATGCACAACGCATGTGCACTATATCCATATACTATGCACACACTAAGCACACTGAATGATCTCCTATGGTCATGATATGCACACTGCATGCTGCGTCTTGTATACTAAAAACATATAATCTGGAATTGGAAAAATTAACATTTTCCAAAACTCTTTTCGGTCAAATTAAGTACCCAAACAAAACATTAATTAAAACCCACTACTTTTATAATATATTATTATTAAACATTGGGAAATTTATGAGTTGACATGTCGAAAAAACACATCTTACACATATTGAATGCAATGCACACCTCAAGTATGTTAGGACAAGACATGAGGATCATGTACACCACATGTACACCACATCTACCTTGTCTTGCAAATTTGCTAACTAGTTTGCCAACCAATCCATTTAGAAACAAAGCATGGAAGACAAAATTTGCTATCCAATTTGCACTTTATTGTTTGGGATTTCACTAATATGAGGATGATGCATTTTTGAAGATATGAAACCCTAAAATAATGGGGTAAGTCTTGTCCCTTTTGGTGCCTAGTCTTGAAGAGAATCCCAAGACCAACATGGTAATGCCAACTGGGTTTATAGTAATGTGTGGAAAGAATTTGATTTTTGACTTGGTGCAATATTGGGTATGTTCCAATTTGTGTTTCACTTCAATTGCAAAAATTTCACAAAATTTTCCCGATGTGTGCATACAACGTGCATATGCTGGGCAGGTTGCACATAAAGTGTGCATGTCTTGCACATGGCATATTATGTGCATGTGATATTATAAGGTGATATGTATATTATGTGCATTTAATGTGCATTTTGTGTGCATGGTATGTGCATGTGATATGCATATAACAAAGATACATAGTACGCATGCTTATTATCATAAAATACTTAGCTAATACATTGCACAACAATAAAATGTCATATAATCCATTATGGTTGATGCAGTGCCTTTCCCTTCCTTAGTCGACGAGAATCATCAAAGCCCTTGTTACATTCCTTCTCTATTTTGGCCTTTCCCTCCTGAGAACGCTTGTATGACTCAATAAGGCCCTCGACGCTTCTGGAACAATTCAAAATTTAGGAATGTGATCATTTCTTCAGATGTGTCAGCCTTCATTTTCTACTTGCTTGCATGGTAGAGCACTTCGTTAGCTTCAGCGTTGAGGTCCACAAGTTCTTTTTCTACCTTCATTAGCTTGTGGTTTCGATACTCGCGCGATGCCTGTCTCATAATCGAGTCTCCCTCGAACTTGATCTATACTTTTTAGCAGTGTCTCCGAGTCCACAAAGCTAAACAATGACGTAGGATTTGCCTTTGGCGACCCCGCAAGCGGAGGAAGTTCCATGTTGTACCACTGGTGGAACTCCACAATAAAGCCCTTGGTTTCATGTGGGAACTTGGACATGTTTGTGTTCTCAATTGTTTTGGTTATCTGAGAAGTCTAATTTTTTAGGAGGGTTAATGGTTATTGCAACTATGTGTGAGAAGCATATTTATACATAGGTATACCATGATGAGGATGAAATTAGTTGGGTAAAAGAGGGAATGTGTTGAAGGTGTTTGTGTGGTGAGGATGTGATGCATGTGACCTTCAAAAGTTGTAAGAAGGACCACTACTTTTTTGTCCCCCAACTTGAACGATGCTTCCAAATGTTGTTACTTCATTTCCAACGTAAAGGTTAGTGTGTTATCAAATCTCACACCCCCTACATCATGTTGTGCATGGGTTGGTCTAGGCATATCTGACTATTTTGTAATGGTGGGGACTATACATTCATAGTTTCAACAAGACGTAGGTTCGAAAGTTGGAGGTTTTTACATCTTTTTTTTTTTCCCTTTCTAAGCCCATTGTTATGGTTTTAACTCATCGTTTGAAGGACCTTTTGAAACTCAGAATCCAACACCTTTTATATACTGATAACAATATACAAGCACAGTGCAAATCATATGGAGATGACAAATGTGCATGTCATGTGCATATCGTGTGTGTATCGCATACAATTTCTTTCATATTGAGCTAAGGCTTGTAATTCACAAACTTTTTCAAACAAACACCTATTCCAGATCAAATTCACAAAAAATTGCAAGTTCATAACAAAATTAACAAATATTGAGCATGCTGTAACAAACCCACAAAGCCAAATCCACCAACACAACTCCATGAATCTTCAATACCCTAAACAAAAATTAAAACGCAAAACTCTAAGATTGAAACCCATAATCTAAAAATAAAAAAAAACCCATAAATAAATAAAGATTTCCAGAACACATTTCAAGCCCTCTCTTCCCCATCCCTCTTTTGTTCGACTTCCCATCTCTGCAAATTCAAAAAACCTAATTGAACAAACAAGTAAATAGTTGCATAAATGGGGACAATAATCGAGTTAGAGAGAGAAAGAGATGAGAGAGAGAGAGAGAGGGAGACGAACCAGATGGCTGTGGAAATATGGCTGCCGAAGCTTCACTAATTGGAAAGAATGGAACTTTCCGACCAAAAGCAAAATCTGGTACAAAAATCATATCTTTAAGGATGGAGCATTGATGCAAACAAGAAACCCTCACTTTGAAGCTTCACTCTCGACTTCCTTCTCTTTGAAATCAGAGCTAAGAGATCTAAACTCAACTTGGAAACCCAGAGCTCACAGAGCCCTTGACATCTCTCTCTAGCAAATGAGAACAGTGATGAAATGAGCTGAGGATTTTTTGTATTTATATGTGGGCATTTTAGTAATTTCGGTTTTGTGCATGGTGTGCATGGCCGGTTTATTCTATTTCTATCTCAAGATTAAGAAATTGTTTCATTTTGAGGTATTTTCCAAATAAAATTGTGGCATTTTTTCTGTCAATGGATACACTCGATAACAGTGGCATGGACAAGCAATGGCTACTGAAGTGATAGGCACAACAACTGTGGCCTCTTCTTCAGAAAGCCATGGATGGACGAAGTGTAGAGATATGGGAGGGCTCTATGTCTTTTAATCAAGATATTAATTCGACCCCTCATGGTGTGAAAATACATACACTACGTAAAATCCATCTAATTAATTTTAGAACTTATAAGAGTAAAAGCTCAATATTTGTAATTTAATGGTGGAAATAAGACGAGATATGTAGAGCATCTTTTACATTAACTTTGTTGGTCAATATGCAAGCATGCATTGAGTCTTTGCATGCGTATAAAATTGACTATATAAGTATCATGTATTGAGCCTTTACATACAAATCGATCGGCCGGGTACCATCTTTACATCAGATCCAGTTGAATCGAAATCCCTCGGAAATATAGAATGGTAGGACTTCGATCAACTTTTACCTCTTTCCGACGTAGCTTTGTTTTTCTTTTCCAACTTTCTCACATAGCTTTCAAGTTGCATGAATTGTGTCTTTATAAGAAACCAACATGTAAACACTGCTACAAACTGTTTTCCGAAAGCTTTTCTTCTTTGGATAATTTATTTTGAGAAATTATCCTAAAAGAAAACAAATGGATTTAAGGTTCAATAAAATCTACTCATTATTTAAGATCTGATTAAAAAATAGTTAAATAAAATCTAATAAGAACAATACAAGCGCCAAAAATACTAGCTAGTAGTAGAGGATCTCAGTCCAAAATAAAAAAGTACTAATATATACGTCCAAATATTCAATTGTTCTCGCATTTGCACAGGGGATTATCATAGCAGTTCTTGTAATATTAGCTATGGCTAGATGGGTAGGAAGCAGCTGTCCAAGGAGGCCTCTGGATGCCATTGATGTGATTCAATTTGGAGCCATTGGAGATGGAACAAATGATGATTCCCAAGTGCGTAAATCTTCTTCTTTGTTACCCGTGTCACCCTGTTTTAGTAGTGTTTGTCTATGCTAGGGACCAGGGATACCAATATATTTTTATACAATATTTTAGTGGAAAAGGGATCCTCTCCGGATCCCTTCCACCAAATCCACATAATCAATGAATTCGATCCTTGAAATTTGATCAAACGGCTAAAACATGAGGTCCTTTTAAAAGTTATAATAACTTTAGCCGTTTGATCAAATTTCAAGGGTTCGGATTCATTGATTATGTGGATTTGGTGGAAGGGATCTGGAGATGGATCCCTTTCCTATTTTAGTATCATGTGATGTGATAAATGATGTGTATCGTCACATCAATCACTGATTTTATCTCATCAAATGGTGTAAGTCTAGAATTATTCGTTAATTTCTACCACACAATAGCATATGATGTGCCAATTGTATTGATGCATATAACTAGTGAGATGAAATTATAAATTGACATGAAATATATACACCACATATGCCTCATTAAATTGTTGGAATATTAAGTGACATACAATTAATTATATGGTCACACTAGCTACCTTTATTTATCACACCTCATTCTCTGTTTGCTGGTATTGTTTGGTGTGTCGCGTGGATAATATATATCAACATATTATGTTATATTTAAGGAGGATAATTTAGTTGTCAATATCGATATATTAACAAAACAAATGCACTGCAAAGGCTTTTATTAAGGCGTGGAAAGCTGTTTGTCGAGCTACCAAATATAATGTTCCAACCCTATATATACCACCTGGAACGTTCTTGCTGAGCCCTACGATGTTCCAAGGTCCATGCAACTCTCCTACGGTTAATATACAGGTATAACTTATGTGTTAGATCGATCTTCACTTATATATTATTTTTCAAGGATAAAAACGTTTTGTTTTCCTTAGGTTTATCAAGAATGTTGCTAAATTCTCGCCATCCATCAAATATTTAAGCTGTACATAGTAACCATATATAGGAAAGAAAAAAAAAATTAGTTTAAGATATCGCCCTCTTCAATTTCAAATATTGGCTTCATCCCTAGTTAACAGGTATTGGCTTCAAGTACACTAAATTTTTAGTATTTATATATATATATATATATATATATATATATATATTTTTTTTTTGTAATCCAAGCTTGTTTAGTAAACAGACTATACTATTGATCACCAATCATAACCCATGTAACCAACCAAAGTCATGAAACGGCAGGTTGTTGGAGATATAGTGGCCCCAAATGATCTTAGTGCATGGTCTAATCATGATGTAAAAAACTGGCTTATTTTCTCCAAGGTCAATGGCCTTAAAATTGAGGGAGATGGAGTAATCGATGGACGAGGTGGTATTTGGTGGTCACAGGCTCATAAGCCCGGCGAAAGACCCACTGTAAGTTTATCAACATTGATTTCAAATTGAATAAGAAATGTTCTTTTGTGGTTGAGAATCAGAATTGTTCTTTTGTTACTTGGTGACAAATACTTACTTTTGAATTTATTATTAACAGAGAAGAATAAATGAATTTGTTTTTAATATTTAATATCAACTTTGATATTTTACTTTACCTATTTAAGGCATTGATATAATTTCCATTTTCCTTGGGTGTCAAGGCATTGGCATTTTATAACTGCAATGAGCTTGTCCTCGGTGGATTGACACACGTCAACAGCCCAAGAAACCATATAACTATATCCGGCTGCAATGGTGTAACCATATCTCGCCTCCAAATAACAGCACCTGGTTCGAGCCCTAACACTGATGGAATTGACATAGGCCAATCCCGCAACGTTCAGATTCATGATTGCAGCATAGGCACTGGTATAACTCAGCATAGTTTGCTGCTATACATATATCAGTATAATTTATTCCCAATATTGTGCAGTTTAAGGTTCTTTGTTTTGTTTGATATATCTTTCTTAACTCGATCATAGGTGATGATTGTGTTGCTATTGGAGGAGGTTCCTCATATGTAAACATTAGTAGACTGCTATGTGGACCAGGTCATGGAATAAGGTTTTTTCCCGTATAGCCTAAAATAAACTTTTAATAAACTTTATTTTAAATCCTAGTAGTTGGTACCCTTAGCATATAACGATTTTTTATTTTTATTTTTTTGTTACAATTGAACGTAGCCTACTCCTACCCATCACCTTATACCCACACTCACCGCCTACGATGCACAGATACAGGCACATCTGTTGCGTATAACATGCCGGATATGCAAATGGACACGACATGCCTCTGATACGATCAAATACGTATTTGGATCAACAATGTACAACATTTGACAAATGGATATGGGTATCCGACGGTTTAGGTACAAGTATCCAATAGTTTGGATACGGAATACCCTCAACCTTATCTTTTGCTTGTCTTCAAGCAAAACAAAACTCAAAAACAAAAGAAAAACTAGCAAACTAAAAACTTACACAAAACTTATGAATCATGCCAATCAAGTTCCGACATTGTTACATTTCATGTGTATGTAATACTGCTTGCAGCATTGGAAGCTTAGGAAGAGGGGGCCTCACAGACAATGTAGAAAAAGTATATGTCCGAGACTCTGTCTTGAGGGGGACAACAAATGGATTAAGAATCAAAACATGGCAAGTAAGAATGCTAATTCTTAATATCATATGAGTTGTTAAGTTAATCCTGAAATAATGGGTGTTGTGTTTCTATTAGGGAGGATCCGGATATGCGAGGAAGATATCATTTGAAGGAATTACACTCGATACAGTTGCCAAACCTATTATCATTGATCAGTTTTATTGCGATCAGCAGCCACCTGGCCAAAATCAGGTAATAATCGACAATTTTCAGACTTTTTGCACAATAAAATAAAATAAAATAAATAAAAAATTAAAACAAAATGGCTATAGAACGACCTAAAGTTTTATAAACTAATCCAACAAATACAAAGAGTTAAATAAATTACGATTTAATTTTGGTGCTGGAATTTTCTCAACTTCATACTGTATGGTGCAGTCGACATCGGCAGTGAAAGTCAGTGACGTTTACTTCAGTAGAATACATGGGACAACAAGCACAGATAAGGCCGTCGAATTAAAATGTAGCCAAATCGTTGCTTGCACCAACATTGTGCTTACTGACATAAACATTGTTTCAGCATCACCTGAAGGCACCACTACTGGCGCTTACTGTTTCAATGCACATGGAAGCGCTGGTCCAACGGTTCCCCTTGTCAAGTGTCTGTTACCGAATTAGCATATAGACTTAACATGAGTCTTCTTAAATCTTCAAGTCCATAAATGTTTGTACAAGTCTACATAACTCTTTTAAATTCTGATTTGACCACACGCCCTTTGTGTGCAACAAAAATTTACTGCTATAATGCACATTTCATGGGGTGGGAAATAGAATCGCCCAACCGACTTGACCGACCAAACAGTGCAAAAAGTCGGTTCTTCACCAAAAAATCAAATCATTTAGTTTCAACATGAAGCGAATTGATAACTGAATGACTATTTATCATGTAACAATTAGATGATTAAACGACTTATAAATTTATATAGTGAATAATTGCACGGATGATCTTTCAATGAACCTAAAAAATAATCGGTTCAAATTATGAGAAAATACTGTGAAATAGTCCAAGCAAATAGTTAGTATATATTAAATTATTAGCTAGTCAGCGCTCAAATGCTTCTGTAAACACGAGAAATTCCTGAAACAAGCGACAAGAATACGTGTACAAAATATATATTTTGTATTAATGATTTTGGGGTTACAATCTCTTTGTAATTTGGTCCTCTGATTCTATCTTCGAAGGGTGTACGTTTGTGGATGAATTGTTGATCCAAAGGGCCGTCGGGGCTTGATCTAAGGATGAACAGTTGATGAATGATGAACACTTTCTTCAAGGGGCCGTCGGGGCTTGATCTTGAGTTGGTGGGAGTTCTTCAAGGGCCGTTGGGGCTTGATCTTGAAGGAGGATGGATGATGAACGATGAACACTTTCTTCAAGGGGCCGTCGGGGCTTGATCTTGAGTTGGTGGAAGTTCTTCAAAGGCCGTTGGGCTTGATCTTGAAGGTTGGTGGATGAGCGGATCTTCAAGGGCTTTTGGGCTTGATCTTGAAGGTTGGTTGGATGTGTGGATTTGTTGAGGTTGTTGATCCAAAGTGGCCGTTGGGGCTTGATCTTAGGATGAACGGATGATGAACGATGAACACTTTCTTCAAGGGCCGTCGGGGCTTGATCTTGAGTTGGTGGAAGTTCTTCAAGGGCGTTGGGGCTTGATCTTGAAGGATGAACGGATGATGAATGAATCTTCAAGGGCCGTTGGGGCTTGATCTTGAAGGTTGATGGATGATGAACGATGAACGGATGTGTGGATTTGTTGATCCAAAGGGGCCGTTGGGGCTTGATCTTAGGATGAACGGATCTTCAAGGGCTTCTGGGCTTAATCTTGAAGGATGAACGGATGTGTGGATGATGAACACTTTCCTCAAGGGCCGTCGGGGCTTGATCTTGAGTTGGTGGAAATTCTTCAAGGGCCGTCGGGGCTTGATCTTGAAGGTGGATTTGACGAAGAACGAAGATTGCTTTCTTGATCCTTCGGGATTTGCTTGAGAGCTTTAGAGTTTCAAGGCTTCTTTCTTTCTTCCTTCCTTCTTTTCTTCTTTTCCTTTCTCCTTCTCCTTCCTTCTTCTCCTTCCTTCTTTTCTTCTTTTCCTTTCTCCTTCTCCTTCCTTCTTCCTCCTAAATGAATGCATTGGCCTCCTATTTATAGAATTTCAAAACTTGATTTTTGGATTTAAATAATCAGATGAAATAAATCATTTCTGCCAGGTATTGACACGTGTCATATTTGATGACTTTTCCAATTTATTTCGATTTTTCGTTGAATCACACGCTACATATAAAATTTATGTGACACGTGAACATTGAAATTTTAATTATTGGTCAACATTCATTTCACCGAAATTTTGATGTCTACAAATGCCCCCACTTCAAGGCGCGTCGTAGACATGTGCTTGTCACGTGTGGAAGATGCGTTTTGAAGTCCCTTAATGTAGATGTCAACCCAAGGGCCGTCGAGGCTTAATCTTGAATTGGGCTGGAAATTTCTTCAAGGACCATCGAGGCTTGATCTTGAGCTTGACTGGAAGATTTTCTGGTTTCCTCCAATCGTTGATTTTCCGCAGGCTTAATCTTGAACTGGGCTGGAGGATTCTTTTGGTCTCCTCCGAAGGTCTGAACTTACTCCTTTTATCTGGAGTTGAATTTGATTCAAGGGTGGTGAACACTTGATTTTGAATCGGACTTGTGATTTCTTCAAGGGCCATCGAGGCTTGATCTTGAACTGGGCTGGAGGATTCTTTTGGTCTCCCCCTACCGTTGATTTTCCTTTGTGCTACTCTTGAATTGGGTAGCAGGATTCAGACACATGGCAGGCAAGCAGGAGGTGGAAGTGATGACCTGTTTCTTTGTTCAATCTTTCCCCAATTCGTATTGAAGAGGGTAGATCGGAAAACTGACTCCAAGTGCCGTCTGATTGCTCTTTTCACTTTGCCATGCGAGTAATAACAAGGACAAAGGAAAGGACATGGAGAAAGCATGATATAAGATACCTTTGCTTTTGAAGAAGCAGCGAATGAATCAGCACATATATTTGTTGTGCTTGTCTCCACATGCTTTGATGTATCATTTTCACTTGTCTTACTTGCTCCCTTTGCAGAAGTGGTATTTCCTTATGCAGGTTTGGCATCTTCTCGTGTAGTATTTGTCCTCTGATGCAGGAATGGAATGCAACCTTTGCATTTAAATGGTGCTTCAAAACATTACTTCTCTGCGACGATGAGTACTCGAGAGCAATGCAAGGTAAGCAACCAGGCAAAGGTTCCAGGCAATCAGTTCCAGGTCGGAAGTTTGATTTCAGGTTCCGACTGATAACTCTATTTCCCCTTCTCCTGCATGTAAGAGCAAGGACAAAGAAAAGGACAGGGAAAAAGCATGATATGAGATACCTTTGCTTTCGCCCTTGATGATATAAGATACTTTTGCTTTTGAAGAAGCGGTGAATGAATCAGCACATGCTTCCATCTACCGTTTCCTCCTGGGTCATCTGTACTCCAGGCATCTGGTATCATCTTTGGGGAAGAGGAAAAAATTGAGTATTTTGAGATGTTTTGCTGGGAGTGTACTCTCGGAGGTGAGGAAGAGTTGGGCATTTTTTTTTTTTTTTTTTTTTTTTTTTTTTTTTTTTTTTTCGCAGGTCTGCCTTGCCATAAAAGATGAAGGTCGACATATATAGGGATTTCCCAATAGCAAGTGGTGGTACTGTTCTTTTACCCTTGTCGACAAACGTTTTGATCCCGCAAATTCGGCTTTTTGAAATAGTGACGACTCTTCGATCTTTGAATACGCCTCTTTGATTTCTGAACGACGCCTCTTGGATTTCTGAACGAGCGTCTCTTTTGACAAAGTGGCACGCGTTTTCTGAAAAGCAGAGAAAGCGTCGCCGAACTTTGCGCTCGTCAGCTAAAGATGTGTAGCTGCGATGATGACCTCCACGTGATCTTTTGACAAAGTGGCACCCGTGCTCTGAAAAGCCGCGAAAGCGTCGCCAGCCTCCACGTGTTTTCAACTTTGTCGGAGATCTTTTGACAAAGTTGAACGCGTTTTCTGGAAAGCCGAGAAAGCGTCGCCTAACTTATGCCAGAAAATCCAGCTTTTGAGATTTGCAGAGCGATGTCTCTTCACTTTTGAACAAGCGGCCCTTCGATTTCTGAACCAACGCCTCTTTGATTTCTGAGCAAGCGCCTCTTCCTTTTTATAGAGGTATTGATCACCTGTAACATGCATACTTTGAAGGTTGCTCATTCCTGAAAATCATCTCCGGCCTTTTGAGTTTTAACTCCATCCACCCATCTCTTTTAACACCTTTGAAAAATGGCTAACCCATCGAACCTTAGCTTAGAATTGAGTCTCAGCAGTGATCCGGTTGCGCCGCTTCAAGGTAATGTATGGTGCCCTTCTTTCTTATCTTCTAACGGTCCTCTTACAGGTGAAGACTCCGTGATGCAGGACGCCACAACAGCTACAATAGTAGCTAGGAACCTCCTTACTCCAAAAGATAGTAGGCTGCTGTCGGGACGGTCCGATGAGTTGGCCGTTCAAGAGTCCCTCGCTCTTAGTGTTCAGTGTGCGGGCTCTGTGTCCAACATGGGCCAACGCCTGCTTGCTCGGTCCCGTCAGGTGAAATCATTGATGGCAGAGGTGGAAGATCTTAAGCAGGAGATTAAACAGCTTAAGTACGAGAATAGAAGTTTGCATGTGCTTGCAAATAACTATTCGTCGGGCATGAAGAGGAAGCTTGATGAGATGCAAGAATCTCAAGGTCGCATTCAAAGTGACCGTCAAAGGCTTGCGTCTTTCTTCAGAGACACCTTTTTCCTGCGTCATCAAGCGTTCCACCAAGTATTGGGGCCTCGAATGATCTATCTTCGGTGCTTCCCGCTCCTGGAGTTTGGCCGAGTAGTGGGGCTTCACGTGAACAACCTTTTTGAAGGCTCCATTTTTCTCTTTCTTTGTTAGACACTTTTTTTTTTTTTTTTTTTTTTTTTTTTTAACTTTCATCATTACTTCCCAACATCATCATTTCATTTTACTTTATTTTATTATTTTTTATTATTTTATTTTATATATATATATTTTTATTATTCTTTTTTCTTCTTTCGGTGGATTGATCCACCAGAGTTGTTTTTTATTTTTTTATATTTTTTTTTTTTTTTTTTTTTTACTTTTTTTTTTTTTATTCTTTACTTTCATCATTACTTCCCAACATCATCATTTCATTTTACTTTATTTTATTATTTCTTATTCTACATTGTCGTTTTTTTTTTCTATATAAAGGACCTGCAAGATTGAGGCTCTGGGTGAAAACCCAGGCTGAGTCCGAGAGAGAAGGCGGAGGATCTTTGGGTGTGAGTTGACAGACTTTGATTTTGTCAAGCACATTCAAAGGCAGCAGCAGAGGCAAGCAGACGGACGAGATCTTTGGGTGTGAGTTGACAAACTTTGATTTTGTTGATCACATTCAGAGGCAGCAGCAGAGGCCAGCAGACGGATGAGATCTTTGGGTGTGAGTTGACAAACTTTGATTTTGTTGATCACATTCAAAGGCAGCAGCCACGGTGGAGGTGCAGAAACAGCCAGATCTTGAGGCAGAGTGTAAGGCGTCGAGTTTGAAGACCGGCTAGTC